ACAAAGCATGTTAAAAACCCATATATAACAACTCAAACATCAATATACATGTAGTTTTATTGATAGCTCCAACCTTATCCAGAAGTTTCCATGATCAATCAATTTATAAAGTTGACAAAATTTCAAGGAAGATTCTTTTGTGAAATAGTTAAATATATTATTAAATAAATATATGATTGAGATAATTTGATTTTAATTGAATCTACTTTCAGAGTTCAGTACTTGCAGCTTTATATAGTTCTGAAGAATCCGTATTGGAGGTGAGATTAACCTTTTACCAATCAATCTATTTTTAGACACATAGTAATTGTAAGAATTAATCTTTTTTTCAGAAATCAGTTCTTGCTGCCTTATATAGTTCCGAAGGATCGGTCTTGGAGGTAAGGTGTTTACAAGTGGGCTGAATTTTGCTTGTTTATTTTTTTCTTTCAGATATTTTATTTTATTCTATAATTCCCTGGCCCATTTCTGCCTTTGTCTTAAAGCATATTCACTTACCATTCCATCATTTTGCAAAGAGATATTTGCTGTGCGGATTTTATTTTTCTTCTGAAGGATTTTTTAATGCAGCTGACATATTTTAATTTCTAAAACTTTTCAGTTTATTGTTTATTTTTACATGTCTTTGAAATGTTATATTTTTGGGCAAAAAAGAATGATTGAACTTTATCAGTCAGCAAATGGAAAATTTGTCATGTAGGGGAGGTAATCAGTATTATAAAATAATGAAACTAACTGGTCCAGTTATGTTTCTTGGCAATTCAATAACATTTTATAATCATCTCAATTGTAAAAATAACAAATATATGCTTTTTACCATTTTTTATTACTTCATCTTTATTACACGAATTATACTAATTTTAGAATAAAATAAAAACACTAAAATTTCTAATTTATACAAATTTGGTAACAGAGTATTAACATTCTTCTGGGAAAATTACAGTATATTTTTTTAAGAAGTTAAAGTTAAGAAGTTGGTGCTTGTACATATCTTTATGTAGAGTGGTATTTTAAAATGATTGATTTATTCTCTATATATATTAATTATTTCAATTTTTTTTTATGATTATGGTATCAAATTTATTTTTAAAAAGGCACAACATACTTAAACAATTGATAATGTACTGCGTACTACATCAGATATTTCAGAGTTCTTGTTAATTTTTCCTTGTGTTTTACCTGTACAGTGCCCTCCTGCATCATCCACAAACACACACATAAATGAATATATTATACTCCTATTTCAGGCCTTGAAGTACTCTTTTAAATTATAATCTACCAACTAAACATTTTGAGGACATTTTTTTCATTGATTAAAATATAACATTTTGCAATTTTCTGTTTTCTTTATCTTAATAAAATGTTATTTTTCGTCACTTTATTACAATTCTTTTATCAAAGCTTAACAGCTATTTTTTGTATTAACTTGTTATTGTTTTTTGAAAACTTTATCTTGTGTGCTAAGCTTGCCGCTGTAAAGTTATTTGTTTTATGATTTGTTTGTTGCCTAATATTGAGTAAGGTTAGTACAATACTTACATGTTGCTTTTTATAAAAAAAAGTTGCCTTGGCTAATAGGTCAGTGGTTTTATTTGGACACTGGCTTGTTACGAAAATGATACATTTTTAGTGTGGTACCGAACATGTGGTCTTCCTTTATGAGCTTTCCAGTGTCAATTTGACTTAAACATAGCTAAAAGTAAAGAAACTGTTAAAAAGTAATCCACAGATTGTAGTAGGGACTTAAAGATTATTTTTTTTCCATATTTGGTATTAAATTTGATTGAATATGCAGTAATAATTTTTTTCTTTTAATTATTTAAATTTTTATTAAATCAGAAAGTTACATGTCAAATATTATTCAAATGATTCATACAGATTAAGGTATCAAACAAAAATCATGTTTGATTGTATGCTATTTTAATATTTAACCTGCTGGAACTGCAAGTGATTAGCCTTTGCCTCCAGGAAGACAGGACTGCACATCAGGGTTTATACTGATGGCTGACCAACTTAAAATTGTGCTTTTATGCCGTTAAACAGAACCCCCAAAAAACAAAAATTTCAAGCTGAACAAACGCATTTTAGAAATTCAGCAGGCTAAGCCAAAAACGGTGTTATAGTGTTATAAATTGTAGTCATTTAGACTAAATATTGTTGTTTTTGCCATATAATGATTTTAAATGTATATGAACATTTGTGTATTTTAGAGACATCATTTTGCACAGACAATGTGTATTCTGAATACAGAGGGCTGCAATGTGTTTGAGAATCTAAACAGCAAGGTACTGTGTTAATTGGTCATCTATAAAGAATTATTCTTTGTATTAAAGTGCATAAACTAGAACTTGTCACTGAGTGTAAGGAGTTAGGAATGTACTTTGTACTTTTCTTAAAAGCTTTACTTGAAAATGTTATCTTAGATTGCATAGCTTACATGTATGTATTGATAGGTATTTGAAACCTTAAACCCCATCAAAGGCTTTGCATATTTAAGTTAAAATATCTGAATTCGGTTTCGTTGAAACATTTGTAAGACATTTTACTTCAAAAGTAAGGGCTACTTTTTCCTTTCTCGACATGTTTTAAAAAATATTGGCAATTATAAGTGCCATGGGTTAGTTTATGTCACTTTATCTATATATAATTAATAATAACTTAATTTTTCATAAATTGACTTGAATTTTGAAGGCATGCTACTGCTTTTAATTTAGTTTTTGTCTTTTTAAATTTCAGGATTACCAACATGTGCTAGATTTGATGAGAGAAATCATTTTGGCCACTGATCTGGCTCATCATTTTAAAATACTTAAAAATCTTAAAGACTTAGCTGAAAGTAAGTACAATAGTGAACTTGAATTGTGTATTCATTTCCAATTGCTTTATATTGATCAGCCAACAGTTTAAGAATCTGGCTCAAAGTGAAGGCTGATTTTACTGTAGGCAATGCCTTATCATCACAGGCAAACAGAGGTTAAAGTAAGCTGAAAGCGTTGTTACAGTAAAACTTTGCTGTATACTTTGTTGTTTATTATAACTTAGGCTAGCTAAATCTATGTGACAGTAAAGTCTGTTAACTTGTACATTTATTTGTATATTTTAAACTCGCCTTTAAATGCAGTGTTAACACTATTAGAGGCGTATGGGGAAGACTGGGCTTGCATAACTATGTTGCCTCTTTATAATTATTATTAAAGTAAGATGTTTGACAAAAAGATATAAAAGAACAAACAGCTTTAGATAAAGGAAATCATTAGTTGTCATGCATTTTGAAAACAATGACATTTATTTCAGGGGGTATTGATAAGACCTCAGTGAAGGAAAGAAAGTTACTTCTATGTCTGCTGATGACATCGTGTGATTTGTCGGACCAGACAAGGCCATGGGAAAATACAAAGAGAGTGGCAGTATGTATATTATCAATGTCTGACAATTCTTATTTGCTATCTCATTTAACTTTAATTTGTGTAATGCACTTGTTCAGTTTCCATTTTTGGAACCAGTCACTATGAATTTGGGAATTTCAAGATGAAAATTTGAAGTTAGTCTGAGTCAACAGTATAGAGCTTAGTTAAAGTGCACAGATGTAAAGACTTGCCTGGCTCTATACTGGTGGCAAAGACTAATCTCTCTTTCTTGTAGCAGGTTACAGGTTAAATATGTGAGAATTTTTTGTAGTTGGACTGTTATGTTGACAGTTTGACAGTTCTGTAAATAAGCCAACTATTCAGCACCACTTGAAAGTTGGTTCTGTACATGAGTCAGCATTAGCAACTAAAATAATGCAAAGAGAGGCATCTGATATGCACCATTAAAGCTGGAAAGATGTCATATTAAATGTAACAGTGTTTCTAAATGATAAATTACAGAAATTTTATGAAGTTTGTTTCAGACCAAGTCTTGAAACCAATTTGATAAGTAACATTATTATACCTCAATAATTATATCCTTCATTGTAAAACTTCCATAGGCCTAATATGTGTTCTGATTGAATATTACCCTCCAAGGATATATTCCCTGTGGAATATTTCTATATCACTCTGGGGCAGATATTTCTTGCGTATTCAGCAAGGTTTTAAGTATTGCTAGACTTTGTTTGGGTGTAAGGGAGATAACACCTACATACCTCCGTATTTAATATTGTACTAGTTAATTCCCTTCAAAATGTATAAAATCATTCTTGAACTGTTTTTGTGGGGCAAAATTAAATTGTAAAAATGATTACGTGTATTCGATTTATTTCCTTGACTGTGTACTTTATAAATATTGTAGCTGCGCCTTAGTGTAATATACCAGTTCTCGGGTTGACAATATCCTCTATCACCCTGACAGCCATGTGTTATTTATATAATAATACATCCGTACAAAAACTTTCAGTGTTTTTTTCCTCTATATAACTACTACACTAAAACGGTACTGTTCCCAATAGAAAATAGACATTAAAATTCCTAATTTCAAATGTTTAAATTCCCAAAATAGCTGTTCAAAATTCCCACAAGGCCAAGTCATTTCTCTGAAATCATTTAAATCTTACATATTCATATAAATCACCACTTAATAATTCTACCTGGACAGTGGAAGCTGTAAGCTATCTTTATTCATGATGACTAATCTTATTTGTAGCTGAAAAAATGCATTAAAAAAAATCCCAATGTAAATGAAAATAACGCATTTTTTCCCAATCAGTCTTGTACCAGCACCATTCCCAAGGTAGAGAAAAAAAACCGCTGAAAGTTGTCATTATAAGCACTATTCCATTAAGCACTTACATTGGTTGAATATTGTCCTTTTTTGAGGCATTGATTTATATGACACTTACTCTGATTTAATATTATACACTCTACTATTTTTCAGGCACTGATTTATAAAGAGTTTTTCTCTCAGGGTGATATGGAGAAAGCAAAGGGTCTTGAACCAAGTGACATGATGGACAGAGAAAGGGCTCAGATACCTGCCCTGCAAATCAGCTTCCTGGACCATGTTGCTTTACCTGTTTATGTGTAAGTAACAGCACTGTTGGTATAGATATTGGATATTTTTCATGCATGGAAGTTTGTTTTTAGTCTAACATATCATATGAAGAGGCATGTGAGATCTGCTGTCAATTTGGTAAAGGTTGGAAGACACCATATGACCGTTACAATTTCAGCACGAGTTTACATACTTATGAGGGCGGGTTCAAGAATATTATCATCTCAAATATTTTATTTTTTTTGAAAATTTAAAATAGATTGATATACTTAGCAAAAGATAGAAAATAATGTGATAGTATCAGTTTTAAAGTATAGAACAGATAACGATCAAATCTACTGTGAAAGTTGGGAGTTAGTGATTTTAGTTTTTAAAAGGTTATTTCCCAACATCTCTTAGAGGGGGCTGGAGATATTTACACAAAGCTGCCAAATTAAATGTGAAATTTATGATAGTGCATGTATTTAAAAAGAATTTGTCCATAAATATGATATACATTTTTCTAAACAGGTTATTAGGAAAGCTGTTTAGTCCAGCAAAGGAGGTAGGAGATAGGGTTGAAGAGAACAAGCAGCACTGGATAAAGATCTCTAACTTAATCAAGTTAAAGCGAGGTGGTAGTCAGGCTAGAATGACCTTTGAGGAAGTGTTGGCCATTGAGAATGAGGCTGATGATGAGACAACCCATCTAGTGAATGGTTCAGAAACCATGGGATCCAAGTGTTAATTGAATAAACCAGATACCATGAGATCAAAGTGTAAATTGATTAAACCAGATGCCATGGGATTAAAGTGTTATTTAAATAAACCAGATACCATGGGATCCAAGTGTTACCTGAATAAACCAGATACCATGGGATCGAAGTGTTAACTGAATAAACAAGATACCATGGGATCTAAGTGTTAACTGAATAAACCAGATACCATGGGATCGAAGTGTTAACTGAGTAACCAGATACCATGGGATCGAAGTGTTATTTAAATAAACCAGATACCATGGGATCGAAGTGTTATTTGAATAAACCAGATACCATGGGATTGAAGTGTTAATTGAATAAACCAGATACCATGGGATCGAAGTGTTATTTGAATAAACCAGATACCATGGGATCCAAGTGTTATTTGAATAAACCAGATACCATGGGATTGAAGTGTTAATTGAATAAACCAGATACCATGGGATCCAAGTGTTATTTGAATAAACCAGATACCATGGGATTGAAGTGTTAATTGAATAAACCAGATACCATGGGATCGAAGTGTTATTTGAATAAACCAGATACCATGGGATCCAAGTGTTACCTGAATAAACCAGATACCATGGGATCGAAGTGTTAACTGAATAAACCAGATACCATGGGATCGAAGTGTTAACTGAATAAACAAGATACCATGGGATCGAAGTGTTAATTGAATAAACCAGATTAGATATAAAAGTCATGGCTACTTAGAATGTTCTGCAAGTAAATATTAAAAAAATAATCATGTATCCAGCTACCATTAAGACTTTTGTTACGATAGCATGATTATTATTAGGTAAATAAAGTATTTGCTGCAACAGATAAAAAAGTCATTATTGAGATTGGTGATAACAACGCTTATTGTAAAGCTTGAAAATGTAGTTATTATATATATTATCATGAATTGAGTTTATATATAAAAAATGTTCGAGCTGTTGCAAAAAGCTTGAGATTTAGTTGTAAGTTTTTCATTGGAATGGAATTGTGATCGTTGATTGCAGTTCATCGAAAGCCTGAATATATACAGATTATTGAGTTTTGAATGAAATCTGGAATTAGCTACAGTGTGAAGTGATAGAAATATACATGTAGAGATGTATTAAATGCATTTATTAGCAGTGTTTATGAAATTAGATTTAGAAGATTTAGGTTAAAGAATAGTTATTTTTTGTTAATGTTTTTTTTTTCTCTTTTAAATGCTGATAAAGTTGCCATAGGGTAAAGGTACGTAAAAAAATGCTTGGATTTAAAAACTGATTGTGGTATTTAGTTTCAATATAAGAGAACATCTGAAGAAAGAAAAATTGATAAAATTTGTTAGTATTGGCTATGTTAATTATGTGAAAGAAAAACAGGTTAGTGAAATATGTAAATGAATAAATGGTATGAGAATTATGTTAATGAATAATGGGTATGTGATTATGTAAATGAATAATGGGTTTGTGAATTATGTAAATGAATAATGGGTATGTGAATGAATAATGAAGAAATGGCAACAAATGCGTAATTTTTTTAAGAAAAGACAGTATGGGCTTCATTAGAAAAGTGAAAGGCATGTCTTCAGCAATTATCTAACAATATTGTTAACGCATGATGATAATAGTAAATATACAGTATAAATGATCAATATATATATGTACATTTCATTTGTAAGTAGGTATGTATAGATGACAAAAGGTTATGTGCATTGTTCATGTATGTGTTTAGCAAGATACTCTCAGAGCACCAAGATACTGTTTTAACTACATTTTACCTTCATGTGAAAGTGGTCTGGAGTGTTATTTTATTTGGTCAGGTATGTTTCTAGCCATTTTCTTTTTTGTTTTGTAAGTTTTTGTATGATGAATTTTTCACCACCAGTTGACATCCAGTACAAGATTTGTGCCATTTCAATTTCTGAGTAAGTTGTCTTAAAAAGATTTATTTTTAGAGAGAAAAAAATGTTGATAATTAACCCACAACCTGCAGGAAGGGAAAAGGTTTAGCCTTTGCCACCAGTATAAGACCTGAGGCCGATCACATGACTTGTGTGCAGTCGGACAAAACTCTACCTTGGACTTACTATTTTTAAATCCCCAAAATTTATAATGTAAAGATAAAAAAATGAAAGCTGGAGAAGTTTATTTAAGAAATTTAGAATATTAAGGGTTAATAATAAGTTTGATAAAGCCACTTAATTAACATATGACATAGCATGATTTTACTCTTCTATTTTTCTCAGTTTTTATACAAGTTGAAGATGAGAGGAAACCTGAGGGTAGTTTTAAAATGCACACTGTACATAATAAAGGTATAGATTTTTTATTTGATTTGATCAAATGAAATAAAGCAATAAATCATAGATTGTATTTTTTAAGATTTCTTTTTTGCTGTATATACAATGTATATGAAGTGTGTGTGTGTGTTTTATTTTCTTAAAAAAACTACTATTAATCTGATATTTTTTTAAAAACTACTTTTAATCTGAGCTTATTTGTTAATGAATATATTTGCTCATGAGATTGTTTTAAGATTTCAGTAAAACTTACACCTAGTTCCTTGTCTTCTCCACATTCTCCACAATTGTTTTAACCAAATCTGGGAAAGTCTTATTCTTTAAAAAATTATCGTCTGAATATTATGGTGTTTTAAGTTTTTATTTACTGCCTATATTGAATTAGAGTTTTATAGTCTGTACTTACTACCTGCTTATTATTTTTTAAGATACAAATGGAAAAGAGGTAATCTTTGTGTTGGCCAGTACTTAAAAGTGTTCGAATTGAACAATAAAAGATGTTTCTCCACATACATGTTTTTACAGGATTTTCGAGACTACCTCTATATATGCATTTCAGGCCCCCCCAAAAATAGTTTTGTCGTGGGTACCCTTTCCTGCCGTCTTTTAATTACCAACCCTGGACTATTTATTTGTATTCTTTTTCAGAATTTTCAATTTATACAATATGTAATGTATATGTTTAAGAAAAATTGTATACAAAAATATAAATATAATATACATGTAATGATGCATATTATAAGAAAGAAATTACTATATACCTACCCTCTGTTTAGTGGATGAGGTGGGGGAAGGGACAAGAAACAAAAAACTTTTTTATTGGCATTACGATCAATTTCAAAAAGATATTCGATAATTAGCTCTAGCAATGCTTAAAACAGTAATCTGAATAAGGCTGATGTTGGAATTAGAAAGACACAACCATAGTAATAATATTCAGCAGTTTGAATATAAAAAAATATTGACAGAGACATTTTTTACCTCAAGTTGTTTGTGCTGTTTGAAAGTGTGTTATTTTTTTATTGTATATTTTACTTTCGGGTATGTAAACAATAGTCCGAAGACTGCCAAATGCTTTCTGTTGTGTCATTATTGATTATTGAAGTAGATCTGAGAGAGTTTATATTTAATATATTGTATAATTTAACAAATCTAAGGGAAGTAACCTCTCATCGACTGTGTGAATGAGATTATAATAAATTGTGATTTGTAGATTTAAACTTATCTTTTTACAAGGAATAATGAAATTATGCCTCTTTTTTTCTTAAGTTCATGTTATGTTTTTAGCAATATATTTGATTGTGCAGTGAAATCTTTGTACAGTTATCTCTCATAATATGTTACATACTGTTTAGTTGTTGGAATTCAACTGACTTGTTCTTGTGACATTATGTAGATATACCCCTTATTTGATGCATGAGCTGGTCACATAATATGAAGTCCAGTATTATTTAAGTTCATAAAATACAACTTTGACTTATTATTTTACTACCACTGTGAAAAATGAATAAATAAATCCAAATTACAGTATAAGTAGCTCATCTCTTAATTTGTTTTTTTTTTGTTGAAAATTTTAAATTTTAATTTGTAGAAATGTAAGTGAATAAACCTGCCCAACAAAAAATAACCTTAAATATGTCAAAATATGGGGAAATTATTGTTACTGTGTAACTAACAGGGTAGGAATATGGTGATACAAATGGTCAAATGTGTAATACTCATGTGCATCATGGAACATGCAAAAGTATTAAAATAACTTTTCTTTGTAAAACAATTCTTTATTCATTTGGCGTATTGCAGCTAAAGTGTTTTTTATTCATTTACTGTATTGTTGCTGAAGTTTTTAGTAATCTTATATTCATTTTGACAAGGGCAAAATAAATACAAGGGGTGAATAAATGTTTTCCATTTGTGATATGTAATGGTATTTTTTCTGCAGTTAGCTGGTTTTAAAGGATAACAACACTTAAACACTATATCCATGCATCATCTTTTATGATGTGAATCGCCCATCATGATGTTGGAAACATTGTGGTAGTTTGAAACCATCTGTATCTGTTTTTGTTGGTGTTCATCTTAAGGCATTTACAAAACAAATACTTTTTCCCTCTTTTTACCCAAATGTTCTCAGTTAGTACTGTTTGAAAACTACCCTATTTAAATGTTGTATGTAGATTTGGTGAAAAAGGACAACATTTAAATGGTCTAGCTCATGCACCAGTGTCAGCATAAATTTATCTTAATTAAAGAAAACATTTGCTCTATAGTTTTTAATGAACAATGGGTTAACTTTAACTTTTCATGTATGTTTTACTCATTTTTAATATTTTCTGAATATACATTTTTTTATCAGTCTTGTATTTAACATTCATTATGTAATAATTGAATCACTGCATACACATGTATGTACTGTTATTTTATATTTTTCAAAACCATTATGTTTATTACACCATATCATCAAGGCATTGCTCCACATTGTACAAGGTTAATATGAAAACAAATATTTTTTTTCATATTTTGTGTTTTATAGTTCTTGTTTTAATATATAATATGTGTACGGCAAGTAAGTAGTTACGAGTATATTAAGGTGAACCATGTCTAATTATTATTGTCTATTCTGTCCTTTGATGACGTCCGTCAAAACCTACTTGCAAATGTTAGGTTCAAAGGAGGACGGACCATCAGTTCTTTATAATATCAGACCTGTATAATGGTAACTAATGATCTGTTTATTATTTAGTCATTAGTTAGATTTGTCTAGAAAATAACATGGAAAAAAGCAAAAAGAAAACCTCCGATTTAATATGGTCAAGGTAATATTTAATTGATAAAGTACCAAGATAAAGATAATGTTTTGTTTCAGTAACTTTTATGTCATTATTTGTTACCGGGCTTTTCTGTAAAATAAGTTTGAAAGTTATTACTAATGCTCATTGGCAATGGTTTAGTGTGGTATATTAAATTAACTTGAGTCAGTCAGCGTTGAACTTAAACACTTAGTTTTAAGCAACAAAGTATGTACAATTTTTTGTTGAAAATACTCTACACCTACTGCAAAGTTACTACATGATCATTGAATTGAAACAGTGTTTTCTTTTCTTCTAATTCTGACATAATTATGTATTTGAAACAAGAATTCATCATTGTTTCTTTATGCCATGTTAATTTCTTGATTAGTCTTAGTCAAGATAATGTAAAGTCTAAATATAAGAAATGAAGCAGTTTTGCTTTTGCTATCCTAGAATATGTTCATCAAGGAATTTCTTTTCCATCAGAGTTTTGTTGTTTCAAAAGCCAGATATACTCAACATTTTATCGTATCATACATTATAGTACATAAATATATACATTATGTTACCATGGCATCTCAGAGGTTTGTTTACATTACATATTGATATTATTTGATTGTTTTGATTGATTCTATATGTATATATGATTTTAATCTGTAATGTTTTGCTGAATATTCTTTTATATGTATATAAACAGCTTTCATTATGAATTTATGATATTACTTCATGCATTTCTTTACAAATTAAAAAAAATAAAATAATCAGTTGAACATGAAATAAGACATGTTATAATGATGATGGCATGAAACTTACCCCCCAAAAAATGCATTCTAGTTATGTATATATTCTTATGCAAAAATTTCACAACTTAATGGTTAATCAATAATAATATAAAAGCTTTCAATGGTGTTTCTTGCCTTAATTGAAACGTGCCATGTAACTTTAACAATGCTGTATGTGACTGAGACACAAATTAAAGAAAATTAGGGAAACTAGTGGTATAATATGTATTTTGAGGATGTTCAGATCTGTCTGCCACCTCGATTAGTTTATGCATTATTACATAAAATCTACAGAGACCGTTAGGTGATCCGGCTTTTGAAAGGTTAAAATGAAACAGAATTGTAAAAGAATTCCTATTCCTTTAAGATGCTTAGAAACACTACAACCAATTTAAGTAGTTGCTTTTTTGATATGAAATAATGATACCTTAAACTTGTTGAAATGATACTAAAGACTATGCTTACTTTTACTTACTGTACTACATACCTGTAAGTTTTATCCTATGCCACAGGTGATAACTATTTTTATTCTCTTAACATGTTATAATGGGTATGCAAAAACATGAGTAAATAAAGTTATCTTATCTTGAATGCATGTTGATATATATACGGGAAGTATCTTATTCAATTTACTGAACTGTATATATTGATTGACTATTATATCTATTTATTTGTTATGGCCATATTAATAATAAATTGTTAAACTGTATAGCTTGTTTTGTTAGCTCATTTCAGCACAAAGAAAGTGCTCGTAGATGAGCTTTTGTGGTAACAGCGTTCTCTTGTTCGTCGCCCAGTGTTATCCACAACATCTTCTAAACCTCTTGATGGATTTTGACCAAACTTCACAGGAATGATCCTTAGGTAGTCCTCTAGAAATATTAATTATATACGGTTCCAGTCTGATGCATAAAAGGTCTCTTAAAAATCTCAAAAACCACAATGCTGAGAGCTAAATATTTGGCATGGAGCATCACCTTGTGGTCCTCTTTAAAAATTATATATTATTCATTTCCACTCATGGAGGTACTTGACCGAGTTGTTAAGGTCATTGACTTCGAGCCACTTGCCCCTCACTGCTGCAGGTTCAAATCCGATCCGGCACTTTAGACACTTTCATGAGAGTAAGCTATTCAGCTAGCTTACAGAACGTCGGTGGTTCTATGGTGCTCGCTCGTGACAAAAATAATGCACGGACAGGAACCTGAGGTATTCATCCAGCAGTAAAGATGGAATGACGCCACATGATTTCTACTGTTCGACGTAAAAAAAAAACCTAAAAACAACAAACCAAAATATATAAATCTTGCCCCTGGGGTTAAAATTGGTCTCGCTCCATGAGTCACTTAGTTTATAAAGACTACCCTCAGAAAATACAATGTCTATAGCTTTGACATTTTGCATTTAGCTTATGGTCCTCTATATACTGTTCCCATGGGATCAAAATTGTCCCTGCCTCAGGGGTCACTTAGTTATATAGACTTGTATAGGAAAAAACTCGAGTCTCCTTTTGTGAGACTACAATGCAAAAATCTAAGACAGTTGGCATGTGGCATAACCTGCTAGATCTCTATATAAGTCATGCCCCAGAGGTGAAAAACGGCAACGCCCTGGAGGTCACTTAGTTTACATATTCTTGTATAGTAAAAATTTAGTGTTTTTTTTTAAATTTCTTGTCTGAAAGTACCATGCCCAGAGTTTTGATGTTGACATGTAGCATTACCTTGTGGTCCTCTACAAAAGTTTTATTAATCATTCCCCAATATTTGCCTTGGCCCTGATGTGACTTTGTTTATGTAGACTTTGATATACCTGAGACAAATTCTTTATAGCCAATTTCCACATTGATATATTAGAGGTAGGGAACCAGGGAACATCACATCTGTAGGGGACTGCTGCACTGTCTGTGACAAGCTCTTGTTTACTTGAATCTTCAATCAAAACCATAGACAAACTTTGACTGTATTTGACCCTTTTGTGAAATTTTCTTGTGAAAGTTTTACATGCATGATTTTCTTCTTTCTCGCATTACATGAAATTTAGTTAATTGGTCGAGAACTCTGCCTTACTGACAGATCTTGTTTTCTATGCTTGTTAAAATATCTTTTTATGGCGCAAGGTCATGTTATGTTTAATTGACTTTGTGTATTACACGTTTTAACAAGAAAGAATCAAATGGCTATAAAATAAACAGGTTTGGAAAATACTTTTTTCCAATCAATGAAATGTATTTTCATGCGTTAATTAATGAACCCAATCATTTGTAGACAAATAACAAAATGCTATATCTAGAGTGTATCTACATGCGTTTGAATTGTTGAAGAAAATATTTTGTATAACAAGATCATTATTTTCGCCCATATACAAATGTTTCACAATTTTTACCACAATACTTTTTATCATGATAATGATGACATAAAATCTGACCAGATAGCAGGACCTATGAAGATAAAAAGGAGGCATTATCAGTAATATAGCTCAGTTTTTCTTTCATTCCTAAAGTGTGTGTAAAACCTTTCGAAATGATGATTTATTGCATATCGTTTGTGTGCTTTATTTCACTCACTGCTTTTGGAGAAAAATTACACGAACAACAAAATCTGCAGTCAATTTGGAAAGAGTTGGAGAAATTGAAAGAGATTGATCTTCTGAGGGAACGTACATTGGCATTGGAACGTGAGGTTGAGGGATTAAAACTTCAAAATCAAAATCTTAATCAAAAGGTTGAAACGCTGGAAAGACGATGTGCGGAGCGCCCTGTAGAGGTAATCATACTGGCTTATCAAAATGTTTTCATTAATTTTCCTAATTTAACTCTATCTGAAACACTTATATAGTTTGTATTAAGTACTATTTTACTAGTTTTAACTTTACTTATACATACTAATACCGAAAGATTCCGATTTTAAAGCAGACTTTTAGTGAATGGTGTGGCATATATGGACTCTTTGTCATTTCAACGGTGGATCAAAGCTTTTAATCAATGATGACTACCGTTCACGTAGGCCGAAAACCTCGGTTACCAAGGCAAATATTGCTGCTAAAAAGATTATAGTAGAGTAGGAGTAAAGGATATGTACTGGCATGATATCAGATCAGATGGCAGTATATAATAAGGCTGTTTGCTGTCTTCGGTAAGTTTATGACAGTATTTTATGTTTTGATGTTTTACTGGAAACACCTAGTGAGACGGGAGCATTAAAAAATTAAAATATTAAATAAAATTCAGTCATAAACTTACCGACAACAGAAAACTGGCAGATTTTATTCACCGCTCCTCCGACGAATTCTCCACCGCCGCTTCTGCGAAAGATAAGGCCAGTGTGTATATTCTTGCATACGCAGTTTGCATGCAAGTATCCTCACTGGTTTTTGTTTTATATCAACAAAATGTCCGAAACAGTATGTTTTGTCATTAAATCATGAATATAACTTTTCCTCCATATAAAAAATCTTTTAATTAAATAGTTTGCATTCGTATTTAGATGTGACTGTATAAATTTTCAGGATGTTGAAAGGACAGAAAAAACTGGTACGATGGCCAACACGACAAACACTCACAGCTATTCTTTCAACCAGACATTTGAATCAAGGAAACAAACTTCTAAACTAAATCGCCAGAGAAGTATATTACCAAGTAAACATAATTATTAAAATCCCCATGTCTTATTCGGCTACATGCATGGCAAGAACGCAGTAGATCACTACATTTGCAACCGACAGTAGTGGAAATTGAAGGAACTCAAGACTACATACTATTCAGTTTGTCTTTGTAAAGTCTGTGGATCTGGAATATACACTCGAATGTTTTCTTCGCCTATATCATCTTTTTTATGACGTGGGGCGTTATCTGTGACATGGGCGCGTATTATATAACCATTCCCTCTACCCAAATGAAGAATGAGCGTGAAATATAATATATTTGACATTAATTAGATACTATATTTTAATATATATGTGATGCTGCAATAGCTGATTATGATATGACAAATCTCTTTCTCTATAAACTATTGGTCTGTTTGTTTACATGTTCAGATTGTCCACCAATTGAATCGTTTTCTATTTTCAGGACAGGTCTCAATCCAAACACATATAGCGTTTACAGCAGGAGTATCGGTTGATAATCTTCATAATTTAGGTGAACATCAATCTATTATATTTGATCGTGTCATCACAAACATTGGCAATGCTTACCGTCCACATACTGGGATTTTTAATGTCCCGGTTAAAGGTGCATATGCTATAACGCTAACCATGACTGTTGAACCTAACAAACTTCAAAGGCTTGAGTTAGTTGTTGACGGCGGTTCAACATACTATATATCTGCTGGCCAAGCGGATGCTAGAGACTACACTTCTACAACAAAACAATGGATTCTAGAGCTGCATACCGCATCAGAAGTATGGGTCAGGAAGGTTGGTGCTGCCTACACTGACCTCCACGGAAATATGGATACTATTATATCTGGCTATCTTTTGTTCCAGACATAACAATTTTCTGCGAAATAAAGTTATTCAACTGTGAGTTTTGTAGGTGAAAAATATAAGCAAAAATAACATGTTTTCTGATGCCGCTCTGTAACTTTTAGAAATAGTATAAGACGTTCCGGCTATATGTTTATATAATAAACTGTGTATGTATTATCTAATTAGTATGATACCTCCGTTTATTTCAAAAAAATACTTCATACATGTATAATTATGATCTTTTTATCAAACTTAAAATTTTTGAACTTAAAGTAAACATCATTTAAAATCATTTTTTTTCTAAAAAGCAGATGTTTGGCATATGTAGCATCACACTATAGCCCTTATAACAGCAGAATTGTCCCTTTTGTTCAAATTATGCACTTACGGGGAGAATTGCTAGTAAGGTAATGAAATAACCAATAAATTGTAACCGAAGAATATCGATTTTTGATTAAATTTTCGCTTTTCAAGTACTGACATAATTACTAGGTTTCCATAACATTTTATCATTCAAAAACAAACATGTACAATGTTGATAAATGTACAATTTTACCTACGAATAATAAATGATTGAAATGTTAGTGATTGTATTATCTCATTGACTGAATGATCATAAAATAATGTTGTTTTTTTTTTCAAAATTTTTATTACCGATTCTTCGTTGTACTGTCCACATTGTAATGTGCTTCTTTTGGCACTAACTGAGAATCTACTTGTCATCTGACATCTTCTGAATTATTGTAAAAGTTACAAAATTATATGATATAAGGTTATATTTTGACGTTTTTAATGAGTGTTTACATTATTATAATGTTTAATATACCATTAACCATTATGATCTTTATATTAAGTCTGGTGCAATAAGTTATATTTCTACGTGAAAAGGTCTATCATTTATCCGTGTTTGGCACTCAGGACAAAGTATTATATATCATGATCCTGTTTAGATAGAAATCTCGAAATTTGTCGATCTGCCTAGCCTTTATCTGCTGTATAAAAAAACTCTACCATTCAATCTTTAGTTCTCAATGATGTGTTCAAATATGTACACATTTGTGATGATTTGACACATGCGTGTGCAAAACATCTGGTGAAGTGTTTGCGTGTAACTTTATGATATGATTACCACTGAAGTTATTCAATTTGATCTTCACTTATACTTTTGCGATTCTTACATACGGTATATTCTCGACTCTTGTTTAATTTGAAATTTCTTGTGAAAGTTTTGCGTGCAAGTTTTTTTCAACGAATTCACTTTCAATGAAGTAATGCATATAAAATGATTATACTCTATAATTCTGTTTTCTCTGCCATATATAAAAATTTCCTCAAAATGTTAGCTACATTAAAGAGATAATTAAATTTTGGATGATCAGAGGTTCAATTATTTCTAAACCAATGTATTGTCCTCTCGAAATAAAGCAGGGTCAAATGCAATTCTACAGAATTCGCATGGTGAGTTTTTTTTAGTCTTTGTTTATGAAATTAAAAAAAATACTATTAAATAATTTATTTCATATACTATAAGTAATGTATATGGGATATAACAGTCTTCTCATAAAAGTTACTGGAAGTGACGATATTAAACGTCACGAAAAAGTCCTAAAGCAATAAAAAAACCCAGTATATTTGAGATCTTTGGACAAACGAATTAAATGGCAGATATGTTATTCCTACTAACACAACATTTTATCGTAACTATTTAATATCAATTTTATTCTTGCTTTTCTGAATTATTTCTTCGTTTTCTATAAGTACATAATGCTCCCCATCCAATCGGACAATTCCATATGTTTTATTTTTTCAAACAATCATCGTATAGTTTATTTAAAGGTCAAATTATCCGGTCAGTTATAGCCCGTTTCAAAAACAAAGCAAAAAACGTATTGTTGTTAATTTTTGTAGGTTACGACAATCAGTCTCTCAAAAGCCGACATGATGTGTGTACACGTCTTTCAGTTATTGACTCTGAGGGATATTAAAAATAAATGATAATTCGACATCAATGATATTTAACCTCTAACAACTGTACTAAGGTATTATTAATCCGTTATAGTTAAAGTTATAATTTTTCTCTACACAAAATGAGTGTTTTGATGTTCTTTCTCTTTCGTACCATAGGCAAAAATATAACACGTTCCCAGCCGTCACAATATTAAACCCCAGAAAAAAATAACCAATGTACACAAGTATCTGAATATGACTTTATACATCGTTATCTCTTTCCCCGTCGTCGCATGAAAAAAATATAGCCAGTCAACACAGACAGTGAGTGCAGTAACAAATACCTGCCCTCAGTTTACGCACTGTGCATGCATCGTATACGATTTAACTGTGACACGTTTTCAATAGTAATTAAAGTCTCCAAACTGTGATACAAGTGAATGTTTATTTCTAAAAAAATACAAACTACCAAATACAGACCTTTTAATGGTAAAAATCTTCCTTCATGCACCAAACATACATGTTCTTTCTATTCCATATCATTGAAAACTAACGAGCCAGCTACTGAGCAATTTTAGTTATGTTTATGAAACTAAAATAATTGCCGCTCGAAAATATGTTGATATTGAAAATATGCCGTTCTCGAAAAAAACATTAATCTCATTTAATCTTAATAGGTACAAAGTAACACGAACATTGTAAGAAATAAAGGATTTTAGAGCAATTTCGTAGCATACACACAAAGAAGCAGTTGATTATGATACAGTTAAAACAAATGATATTATAAACATAAGAATACATAAGAAGTTTAATTATTATACGGTATTGTTATATAGCTTAAAATTAAATAGTGTAACTTGTCAAAAAGAGCAATTTCACTTGAATGTTTGTTTCATGTGACGTACAACACATATTCACACACAAAAACCGTTTAAGGTATTAGGACCCTAATGGGCACTATAAGGAACTAAAAAATTGACATCATAGGTCAGAAGTATACCTTAAAGTACACCTGTATGCAAAATTTAAACAAAGTTTACCGTACGGAAATCAAGTTATGGCCACTTTTCTTAACTCAAGCTTGGATGTTATGAGGGCCCTTTTTTTAGAAATGAGGAACCTTTAAATAATCTGCAATAACTTTCTAATGAAAAATGTTTTCCCATTGATTTTTGGTAAGAAACAAATAGTACCATTCAGCTAACAATCCACATCATAAGCAAAATTATGGTTTCTACTTTAAATTTATGAAATCTGTATAAAAATGTTACCCTACCCCACCCATTTTTACCACGTGTCTGACCATTTTTCTACTTAGGGAGCCTAATTAAAAAAATCTTAAAATTTACCCAAATGAGTGCCTGTTTTCAAAGTTTCCCTAAATTTTAAAAAAAGTATATTAGTTGGTCTTGTGAAATATGAAATACTTTTACCGTCTAGTTTTGATTATTTTACACTTTGAAAATATCAGGTACCATATTTATTACTAGATTTAGCATAATTTAGCCAATAAATACATATATAAATTTAAAAAATCAAAATTAAACACTTCTTTCTTTCCAAATGGGACATGAGAGATACATAAATAATGTTAAAAGAAAAAAAGAAAGAAAAAAAAAGTTGACCCTTCTGGGGATTGAACCCATGGCCCTCATTTTCAATGTAGTTAACAGTAGTTCTAGCCTATTTGAATACTCTTCAACGCAGAGGTAATGCATTAGGGTGCTAATACCTTAAGTACATAATTAAATGAATAACAAGTTCATTACTTTCACTTGTCAAACGATAATAATGTTTAATACTTATTGAACTCATAGACATTAAAACCTCTTATCACGATAATGATGACCTAGAGTGTAAAAATTGTCATGATTGCAGAACATATTAAGCTATTTAAGACAGATTATTACTTACAGGCCGAAATTATAACTCTTTCCCCATTTTATGTAAATATCACAAAAAGATGATTTTGTTTATCTTGTTTCTTTGTTTCGTTTCAAAGAATGTTAATGGGGAAGATTTAAAGGAAATGAAAAATCTGCAGTCAATTTTAAAAGAGTTGGAAACGATGAAAACAATGCACAAAGAGATCGATTATTTAAAAGAACGTACGCTGGCATTGGAAAAGCAGAATAAACAGCTTAACCAAAAAATTGAAAAGCTGGAAATTTGGTGTGCTGCGAAAACTGAAAAGGTAATCATTTAGTATTTGGCTTATTGAAATGTAATTTCCTTCAATAACATAAAAATGTCTTTGGTTCAACCGGACGAACTTAAATACCATTGAGATAGGGTTTTTATTGTCTGGTTGTATTGTATATATTTTCAGGATGACGTGATAACATTAAATTCCGGAACGCCGGTAAATACAACGAATACTCACAACAATGCTTTTAAACCATCACCTGAATCAACCAAAGAAATTTCTCGTCGGCAAACTCGTAACAAAAGCAAAACCAGCTACTTAGGGCAGCGTGCATTAGGTAATTAACTGGAAAGCTGAGCTATAACCGCTAGAGAATTTGTCAAAGACATTGATTATATCATAAATTAGAGATCTCGAGCTAATGTTCAGGGTGTAGGATTCTGATATGTACTAAAGGATTAATTTTTCATCATTGGCGTTTAAAGGTCGTCATTTAGAATCATATCATAACAGTTGATTCTCAAACACTTTACACAATTCTTAAACCACAAGAGGTATTTTTATCTATTAAAACTTGAGTTGGTCATATTATATATATATCTTCTCAATGATATGATACCAATTGATTAAATTTGTTCTCAAATTACATTTGATCGGAATATAATAAAAACAAACAGTCTGTCCATTTTAATTATTTATCATTTTCAGCACGGCGGTCTCTTACACCTCATGTAGCTTTTACAGTCGGAGTATCGGTTGATAATCTTCATAATTTAGGTGATCATCAAACAATCATATTCGATCGTGTTATCACAAATATTGGCAATGCTTACCAAAAATATACTGGAATTTTCACTGTCCCAGTTAAGGGTGCTTATGTTATAACATTAACAATGACAGTGGAACCCGAAAAAGTTCAATGGCTGGATTTAGTGGTTGACGGTGTAACCATAAACTTCATAACTGCCGGAATTGGAAGCACTAACAATTACGCTTCTTCAACGAAACAATGGATCCTTGACCTAACAACTGGATCAGAAGTGTGGGTTAGGAAGGCTGGTCCGATATATTACAAGGACCTCCACGGAAGTATGAATACTATTATGTCCGGTTTTCTCCTATTTCAAATATAACAGTTTTCTTTAGTACATGTAAAGTGATGAAATTGTAACTTCATTTTTAAACAAGTAAAGGAAAGTGTATCATTTTTCTTAATATGTCGATCTGTTGTTCCTTAACTTTTAGCAGATAGTACTAAGCATCCTAAAATGTAAATTATATTGCATATATTTTGATAGTGACCATAGAGAGTTTTGAAGTAACGAGAATTTATGAAAGCAATAAAAACAACAAATAGAAAGAAACAATAAGAATCCCGTTCGGACAACCCCTACCCTGAAAAGAAAAGAGAAGTAAAAATTGCATTAAGGCGTGAACAATCATTTTTGAAACTGAATTAAAACGGATGAAAAATATGAATGCATATTTAAGGAAGTGAAGACGAATATATCGCTAAACTTTCAAAATCGCAAACCAAAACAACTATGTAAAACTTCAGAAAATAGCTGTGAATAAATTAATATCAAGAAACGAAAACTGCTACGATTCATTCATTATGCAAATTTTTCGATCTATAGAAAAAACGGGCACTGACGCAAGCTTGTATTTTAATAACAATTACGTAGCATTTACAAAACCAATCAGTTGTTATGATATGATATAAACATACGAAATCATAGACATACCACTAGGTTATGAATTATTTTCTTAAGCAAAAATTACAAAGTTTATTGATTAAACAGAAATGATAAATTGCTTTCTATGATGTAACTTGTCCCCAACGAAACAAGCCCTGTGACTTTACTAGTGTTTCATGTGACATAACACGCACACGCGCGATTCCGCACACAAACGCATGAACATACAGACGCGCGCGCATTCACACATACGCAACGATAAACTGGCAAATAAAATATAGGGCTCCGTCTACTACAATAGCCAGTTTATATATTTCAACGAAAAATTTATAAGAGCTGGAAAGACATGTGTCTCCCAAAACTATGTATGGTGAAATCCCGCCAGAAATTTGATCTGTGAAAGCCACGTAAGATTTATCTATTTAAAGCTCTGGTGGCCATTTTGTGCAACAAAGTAGAACGTAACCGCGATATGCACAACTAAGTACTGATCACTCCTGTGAAGTTTTCATTATAAACCTAATATCAATTGAACACACCAATGACCATGTAATACATGTTTATCACATACTCGTGCCGCTTTTGCGACACCGTAAAAATGGTATTGCACGGCCGTGCATATATTTTGACGTGGCGTCATTTGTGTTATACAAACATAGCGCAAAGACGCGCTAAATAATAGCGCTATACTGTAGGCGCGTCAATGAGAAAGACTTTTCTCACTTTAAACGGTCTTTATTTTTGGTATGTGATAAATAGAATATTAAATTCGTGTCCACACTGGCATCAGTCAAATGATGTTTAAACGTCTGGCTCAGGAAAAATCGTTTTTATAAACTTGATATACAGAAAGAAAAATTCGCCTAAACAAGAAAAAGACCATTTCACACGGAAATCTCTCGGACAGACTTCTTTGGTTACGGCTTTGGGCTTTATATTGTGCAACGAAGACTATCCAAACACAGGAGACCCTCAAAACTTGTACAAAATCGTATCCGCACGCAATGAAATCAGACCAATGGTGTCTTAATGGTTGGCTCAGGAAAATAGTGTTTTTTATATACATTTTATATACAGAAAGAACAAATTGCCTGAACAAAAACGACCATGCCACGCGGAAATCTCCCGGCCATTATTTCTTGGGTTAGACCTTTGGGCTTTATATTGTGCAAAGAACATCCTCCAGACATGTACAAAATCGAATCCGCAATGAAATCAGACCAATGGTGTTTAACCAGTTGGCTCAGGAAAATGGTGTTTTTTATATACATTTTATATAGAGAAAGAACAAATCGCCGGAGCAAAAAATGACCATGCCACGCGGAAATCTGCCGCCCATATTTCTTTGATTAGACCTTTGGGCTTTATATTGTGCAAAGAACACCCTTCAAACATGTACAAAATCAAATCCGCAATGAAATCAGACAAATGGTGTTTAAACGGTTGTCTCAGGAAAATGGTGTTTATTTATTAATTTTATATAATGGAAGAACTAATCGCCTGAACTAAAAACGGCCATGCCACGCGGAAAGCTCTCGGATAAGTTTCTGGTGTAACGACTTAAGGCCTTTTATTGTGCAAAGAAGACTATCCAAAGGTGTACAAAATCGAATCCGCATTGGAATCAGACAAATGGTGTTAAAACGGTTGACTCAAGAAAATGGTATATTTTTTACGAACATTTATACAGTTTCATACAGAAATAAATAATCGCCGGTTAAAAAGCGACAATTTAACTGGGACCTCTTGCTATTACATTTCTTGTGTTAGAGTTTTGAGCCTTATATTGCTGTGAAAAAGATCATCTAAACTGATATTATCAACAAGATAATAACAGTTTTCTTTGTTGTTGATGTTTTTAAGTGCGTAGCGTTCATTATACAATAGCTGACTGTGCATGACCTCAATTACTACAAGAAAGTTCTCTAAAGTGTGTTTTTTGTCAAACTTCCATTTTTATAAAGTATCTCTGTTTTAGAAAGATTTTATCCCAAATATCTTGCTATTTCAGCCCATTTACTGTTATGAATTGGAAAAAAGAGAAATCGACGGTCCAAAAACGACCATGTCACGAGGAAATCTCTAGGACATATTGCTTGGGTTAAGGCTTTGAGCCTTATTTTGTACACATGAGACCCTCCAAACTTGTATAAAAGGGAATCCAAAATGAAATCAGACAAATGTTGTTTGAAAGGTCGGCGCAGGAAATAGCGATTTTTACACATTTTATATACAGAAAGAACAACTCTCCTGAACAAAAAACAACCATGCCACGCGGAAATCTCTGGGACATATTTTTTGTGTTAGGGCTTTGAGACTTATATTGTGCACAGGAGTCCCTCCAACTTTGTATAAAACCGAATCAAAAATGAAATTCAACAAATGTTGTTTGAACGGTTGGATCAAGAAAATGGTGTTTTTACACATTTTATATACAGAAAGAACAACTCTCCTGAACAAAAAACGACCATGCCACGCGGAAATCCCTTGGACATATTTCTTGTGTTAGGGCTTTGAGACTCATATTCTGCACAGAAGACCCGCCAAACTTGTACAAAATTGATTCCAAAATGAAATCCGACAAATGGTGTTTGAAGTGTTGGCTCAAGAAAATGGTGTTTTTTTTACACATTTTATATACAGAAAGAACAAATCTCCTAAAAAAAAAACGACCATGCCACTCGGAAATCTCTAGGACATATTTCTTGGGTTAGGGTTTTAAAACTTGTATTGTACACAGGAGACCCTCAAAACTTGTACAAATTTTGTTTGAACGGTTAGCTCAGGAAATAGTGTTTTTTTTTACACATTTAATATACAGAAAGAACTACTCTCCTGAACAAAAAACAACCACGCGGAAATCTCTTAGACACATTTCCTTGGGTTAGGGCTTTGAGACTTATAGTGTGCACATGAGACTCTCCATATTTGTACAAATTCGAATCCAAAATGAAATCCGACAAATGGTGTTTGAACGGTTGGCTCATTCAAAATGTTTTTTTTTACACATTTTATATACAGAAAGAACAAATCTCCTGAACAAAAAACGAACATGTCACGCGGAAATCTCTTGGACATATTTCTTGTGGTAGGGCTTTAAGACTTATATTGTGTACAGGAGACCCTCCAAATTTTTACAAAATCGAATCCAAAATGAAATCCGACAAATGGTGTTTGAAGTGTTGGCTCAAGAAAATAGTGTTTTTTTACACATTTCATATGCAGAAAGAACAAATCTCCTGAACAAAAAACGACCATGCCACGCAGAATTCTCTGGGACATATTTCTTGGGTTAGGGTTTTAAGACTTATATTGTGCACAGGAGACCCTCCAAACTTGTACATAATTGAATCCAAAATGGAATCAGATAAATGTTGTTTGAACGGTTGGCTCAGGAAAATAGTGTTTTTTTTACACATTTTATATACAGAAAGAACAAATCTCCTGGACAAAAAACGACCATGCCACTCGGAAATCTCTAGGACATATTTCTTGGGTTAGGGTTTTAAGACTTATATTGTGCACAGGAGACCCTCAAAAATTGTACAAAATTGAATCCAAAATGAAACCAGACAAATAATGTTTGAACGGTTGGCTCAGGAAAATAGTGTTTTCTTTACACATTTAATATACAGAAAGAACAACACTCCTGAAGAAAAAACAACCATGCCACGCCCAAATCTCTTGGACACATTTCTTGGGTTAGGGTTTTAAGACTTATATTGTGCACAGGAGACGCTCCACATTTGTACAAATTCGAATCCAAAATGGAATCCGACAAATGATGTTTGAACGGTTTGCTCAGGTAAACAGTGTTTTTACACATTTTATATACAGAAAGAACAACTCTCCTGAACAGAAAACGACCATGCCACAAGGAAATCCCTTGGACATATTTCTTGTGTTAGGGCTTTGAGACTCATATCACACTGAAGACCCGCCAAACTTGTATAAAATTGAATCCAAAATGAAATCCGACAAATGGTGTTTGAAGTGTTGGCTCAAGAAAATGAAGTGGTTTTTTTTACACATTTTATATACAAAAAGAACAAATCTCCTGAACAAAAAAAACAAAAAACAAAAACGATCATGCCACGCGGAAATCTCTAGGACATATTTCTTGGGTTAGGGTTTTAAGACTTTCATTGTGCACAGGAGACCCTCCAAACTTGTTCAAAATTGAATCCAAAATGAAATCAGACAAATGTTGTTTGAACGGTTAGCTCAGGAAATAGTGTTTTTTACACATTTTATATACAGAAAGAACAACTCTCCTGAATAAAAAACAACCCTGCCACGCGGAAATCTCTTGGACACATTTCTTGGTTTAGGGCTTTGAGACTTATATTGTTCACAGGAGACATTTCACATTTGTACAAATTCGAATCCAAAATGAAATCCGACAAATGTTTTTTACACATTTTATATACAGAAAGAACAACCCTCCTGAATAAAAAACGACCATGTCACGCGGAAATCTCTTGGAAATATTTATTGTGTTAGGGCTTTGAGACTTATATTATGTACAAGAGACCCTCCATAATTGTACAAAATCGAATCCAAATTGAAATCAGACAAATGGTGTTTGAAGTGTTGACTCAAGACAAGTGTTTTTTTTACACATTTATATACAGAAAGAACATCTCTCCTGAACAAAAACGACCATGCCACGCGGAAATCATTAGGACACATTTCTTTGGTTATGGTTTTAAGACTTATATTGTGCACAGGAGACCCTCCAAACTTGTACAAAATTGAATCCAAAATGAAATCCGACAAATGTTTTTTGAACGGTTAGCTCAGGAAATAGTGTTTTTTTTACACATTTTATATACAGAAAGAAAAAAAAACAACCATGCCATTTTCTTATTTTTACCCAAATATTCTCAGTTAGTACTGTTTGAAAACTCCCCTATTTTTATGTTGTTTGGTGAAAAGGACAACATTTAAATGGTCTAGCTCATGCACCAGTGTCAGCATAAATTTATCTCAATGAAAGAAAACGTTTGCTCTATAGCTTTTAATGAACAATGGTTATAACTTTCACTTGTCATGTACGTTTTACGTGTTTTTAATATTTTCTGAATATACATTTTTTTATCAGTCTTCAAGGTATTTAACATTCATTATGTAATAATTGAATCACTGCATACACATGTGTTTACTGTTATTTTATATTTTTCAAAACTATTATGTTTATTACACCTTATCATCATAGCATTGCTCCACATTGTACAATGTTAATATAAAAACAAATATTTTTTCATGTTTTGTGTTTGATAGTACTTGTTCTATTATATAATATATGTACCGTAACGACAAGTAAGTAGTTATGAGTATATAAACGCGAACTATGTGTAGTTATTATTGTCTATTCTGTTATTCGATGACGTCCGTCAAAACCTAATTGCAAATGTTAGGTTCAAAGGAGGACGGACCATCAGTTCTTTATAATATCAGACCTGTATAATGGTAACTAATGATCTGTTTATTATTTAGTCATTAGTTAGATTTGTCTAGAAAATAACATGGAAAAAAGCAAAAAGAAAACCACTGATTTAATATGGTCAAGGTAATATTTTATTGATAAAAGATAAAAGATTATTTTTTGATTATTTTGTGCCATTATTTGTTACTGGGCTTTTCTGTAAAATAAGTTTTAAAAGTTATTACTAATGCTCATTAGAACTGCTTTAGTGTGGTATATTGAATTAACTTGAGTCAGTCAGCATTGAACTTAAACACTTAGTTTTAAGCAACAAAGATTGTACAGTTTTGTTTTGTTGAAAATACTTGTTACACCACCTGGAACATTACTACATGATCATTGAATTGAAACGGTGTTTTCTTTTCCTCAATTTCTGACATATGTATTTGAAGCAAGAATTCAACATTGTTTCTTTATTCCATGTTTGTTTCTTGATAAGTCTTAGTCAAAACCAAAGTCTAGATTTAAGAAATGAAGCTTTTGCTATTTAAGAATATGTTCATCAAGAAATTTCTTTTCCATTAGCCATTTCTCAGGAGAGTTTATGTTTTAAAAGCCAGATATACTCAACATTTTATCGTATCATACATTATAGTACATAAATATATACATTATTTACCATGGCATCTCAGAGGTTTGTTTACATTACATATTGATATTATTTGATTGTTTTGATTGATTCTATATGTATATATGATTTTAATCTGTAATGTTTTGCTGAATATTCTTTGATATGTATATAAACAGCTTTCATTATGAATTTATGATATTACTTCGTGCATTTCTTTACAAATTAAAAAAATATAATCAGTTGAACTTGAAATAAGACATGGTATAATGATGATGGCATAAAACTTACCCCCCCCCCAAAAATGCATTCTAGTTATGTATATATTCTTATGCAAATATTAAACAACTTAATGGTTATTAATTAAAAATATAAAAGCTTTCAATGGTGTCTCTTGCCTCCAATGAAAAGTGCCATGTAACTTGAACAATGCTGTATATCACTATGACACAAAGTACAAGGGAAAAAGTAAAACAAGTGACAGGTATATTCATAATATGGATTATGAGGATGCTCAGCTCTGTTGATTCGTTTACAAGTATGCATTATAACATAAATTCTACAGTGACCGTTAGGTGATTACCTTTTGAAAGGTTAAAATGATACAAAATATTATTTTATGCTTTTCAGTGGATTACTGATTTATCCGTGAAAATTATATTTGGTAATTTCACAGTGAAAATTATCAAAATATAATTTCACTCTTTTCAATGACGAAACTACTTTTTTAAGATTTTCCCCAAATGGTACCTCAATTTTATTTTTGCTGACAATTCTGACAATGTCAGGCTGTTTAAAGAAAAAGCAAAACTGAAATTGATAAATAACTTAAATGTCAAAAGTAATAAAAAGAAGAAAACTTACTTCTATTCATTCAAAATTCATGAAATTCCAATCACCAAATTTCGTTTTTTTTGTTTCATTTTGACAGTCTCAAAAAATACATTCCTTCCCCATGCAAAACTGTTTCTTGATGACATTTGGGCATATTAAAGTATCCTACGAGCAATAACTGCCGTATGGTTTATGAAAAAATTGAAAGCATTGACAGCCATAACTCGAAGAATAAGTTAAATCAACCCAGCGTTCTTGAGCAGGTTTCCAAGTTTTCCATTTTCCTAGCTTCTTTTCTGAATGTTTTCACATCTGTCAACACTTATTTTTGTCTGTTACAATCCTCAAATAAGTTTTCTTTCTTTTTAAAAATGTTGTATGACTAACAAATCCAAATTATATCCCTCTGAATCTTACACAATTATTTTCCTCCCATGAAATACACAACTTTAAAAAATGGCTGCCGCTTACAATTTACACAAGCCAGGTCTAATATAAATTCGCACTAAGTAACAGAAATATGGATGGATGGTTGGACTTTTTCTCCTACAAGAATTGTTTGTTTTTATTATCAAAACAAGCGATCATTCATATTTTTTTAATAAAATTAATAAATATCACCGTCATTTAATGTTGATTGGCGGACTTATTTTTCAGCTCAAGACTTCTTTTTTTTAATGAGAAATTCCGAATAAATGGGGCTCTCAATGGGGGAAACAGTTTTAATATTAACGTTAAAATTATGGAAATTTCGTTTTAACTTGTTTTTAAGCATAAAATAAAAAGAAAATTTGTCTGTTTGTTGTGTAAGATGTAATTTTATTTCATCTCGTGAACTTTAAAAACAGTATTCTCACTCGTGGCTTTGCCACTCGTGAAAATACTGTTTTTAAAGCCCACTCGATGAAATAAAATTTCATCTTACACACAAACAAACAAATATCCTCTATGTAATAGAATTTCTTTAAGATGCTTAAAAACACTCCAACAAATTTAAGTAGTTGCTTTTTGGATATGAAATAATGATACCTTAAACTTGTTGAAATAATTCTTAAGACTATGCTTAGTTTTACTTACTGTACTACATATACGTTTTATCCTATGCCACAGGTGATAACTATTTTTATTCTCTTAACATGTTATAATGGGTATGCAAAAACATGTCTTAACATAAATAAAGTTATCTTATCTTGAATGCATGTTGATATATATACGGGAAGTATCTTATTCAATTTACTGAACTGTATATATTGATTGACTATTAATATATCTATTTATTTGTTATGGCCATATTAATAATAAATTGTTAAACTGTATAGCTTGTTTTGTTAGCTCATTTCAGCACAAAGAAAGTGCTCCTATGTTAGCTTTTGTGCTTGTTCGTCGCCTAGTGTTATCCACAACATCTCCTAAACCACTTGATGGATTTTGACCAAACTTCACAGGAATGATCCTTATGTAGTACTCTACAACATTATATAAATGGTTCCGGTCTGATGCATGAGTAGGTCTCTTTAAAATCTTCTCAGAAACCACAATGCTCAAGGGCTTCGATATTTGGCATGTAGTATCACCTTGTGGTCCTCAATAAAAATTATATGAATCATTCCAGTTCAAGGAGCGTCCGTGACAGAGTGTTTAAGATCATTGACTTCGAGACACTTGCCCCTCACTGCTGCAGGTTCAAATCCGAGCCGGCACTTTAGACACTTCCATATAAGGAAGCTATTCAGCTAGTTTACGAAACGTCGGTGGTTCTACTCATGTGCTGGCTTCTGCCTGAAATAATGCACGGGGAAGAACCGGAGGTATTCCTCCAGCAGTAAAGCTGGAAAGTCGCAACATGATCTCCATTATGCTAGTTTGACGTAAAAATTGCATGGGCATGATTCCTTCCTAGTTATGAACCGACTTAAAATAGCTGAGATGCACCAACGCCTTACTGATAGATCTTGTACTCCTATCTTTTTTAGTGACACACGATCATGTTATATTTAATTTTGTAATACACATTTTAATAAGGTTTTAAAATTAACAAGTTTGAAAATACCTTTTTTCCCATTTGTTATATATATTTTTATGTGTTGATTAAGGAACCCAATATAACAAAATACTATATCTAGAGTTTGTATTTCTGAATATTATATAGATGTATAACAAGTTAATTGTTTCCGCCCTTAATATTTTTTTTATAGTTTTACAACAAGACTTCTTATCATGATAATGTTGACACGGTATGTAAAATCTGACAAGATAGCAGGGTCTATTAAGATGAGGTATTATCAGTAATATAGCTCAGTTTTTCTTTCATTTCTAAAGTGTGTGTAAGACCTCTCGAAATGATGATTTATTGCATATCGTTTGTATGCTTTATTTCACTCACTGCTTTTGGAGAAAAATTACACGAACAACAAAATCTGCAGTCAATTTGGAAAGAGTTGGAAAAATTGAAAGAGATTGATTTTCTGAAAGAACGTACACTGGCATTGGAAAATGAGGTTAAGGGATTAAAACTTCAAAATTACAACCTTAACCAAAAGGTTGAAACACTGGAAAGACGATGTGCGGAACACTCTGTAGTGGTAATAATACTGGCTTATCAAAATGTTTACATTAATTCTCCTAATTTAACTCTATCTGAAACACTTATATATATTTTTGCATTAAGTACTATTTTACTAGTTTGAACTATACTTATACACAGACACATGCCGAAAGATTACGATTTTAACGCGGATTTATAGTGAATAATGCGGCATATATTGACCTCTTGTCATTTCAAAGGGCAAATCCTTAGTTGGATCAAAGCTTTTAATCAAAGATGACTACCGTTCACGTAGGCCGAAAACTTCGGTTACCAAGGCAAATATTATAAAGATTATAGTAGAGCAGGAGTAAAAGAGATGTACTGGCATATCAGACGGCAGTATATAATATGGCCGTGTTCTGTCGTCGGTAAGTTTATGACTGAGTTTTACTTTATGCATATGTGGGCTGCCGTCGCACTAGGTGTTCCCAGCAAAACATAAAAACTTAAAGTAAAATTCAGTCATTAACTTACCAACAAAAGCAAACGGGAAGCTTTTATCCACCGCTTCTGTGACGAATTCTCCACCGCCGCTGCGGTAAATCCACTACTTCTGCGAAAGCTATATCTGCATGCAAGAATATTTGTTTACCGGTATCCACACTGATTTTTGTTTCATATAAACAAAATGTCAAGAACAGTAGCCTATGTGTTGTCATTAAATTATTAAATTATGAATATAGCGTTTCCTCCATATTCTATTTAATGAAAATCTTTTAATTAAATAGTGTTTGCAATCGTATTTAAATTTGACAGAATAAATTTTCAGGATGTCGAAAGGACAGGAAAAACTGACACGACGGCCAACACGGCAAACAATCACAGCTATTCTTTCAACCAGACATTTGAATCAAGGAAACGAACTTCTAAACTAAATCGCCAGAAAAGTATACTACCAAGTAAATATTTAATCCCCATGTCTTATTCGGCTACAGTACATGCATGGCAAGAACGCAGTAGATCACTACATTTGCAACCGACAGTAGTGTAAAGTGAAGGGACTCCAGACTAAATAATGGTTCCGGATGTTTCTTTCGCCTTGGGCGTTATCTGTGACTGGGCGCGCGTTATCTAACCATTCCCTTTACCCGACTGAAGAAAGAGCGTGAAATATTATGTATTTGACAACATAAATTATATAATATATTTCAATATACTCGTATATGTGACGCTTCAGTTGCTGATTATGGTATGGTAAATCTCTTTCTCTATAAATTATTGGTCTGTTTGTTTACACGTTCAGATTGTCCCCCAACCCTGTAATTGAATCGCTTTCTATTTTCAGGACAGGTCTCAATCCAAACACATATAGCGTTTACAGCAGGCGTATCGGTTGGAAATCTTCATAATTTAGGTATTCATCAAGCTATTATATTTGATCGTGTCATCACAAACATTGGCAATGCTTACCATCCACATACTGGGACTTTTATTGTCCCGGTTAAAGGCGTTTTATGATTTAACGTTAAACCATGGACTTTGTTGAAAACCTACCAAATTCAATGTGCTTTGAGTTGTTTGTGACGGCGGTTCCCACATACTATTAGGTGTGGCCTAGCGAGACTTGGCGGACTACGCTTTACAACAGAACAATGGATCCTAGAGTTGGGCAACTGGTCCCCGGTGTGGGTAGGAAGGAGGTAGTTCTGCCTGACCTCTGACCTCAACGGAATATTGAATATATTATTCGGCGTAATTCTCTTGTTCCAGACGTAACAATTTTTGGAAAGGAAAGTTATTTAACTGTGATGTTTGTGTGTGAAAAATATAAGCAAAAATAACATATTTTCTGATGCCGATCTGTTGTTTGTTTACTTTTAGAGATATTATAAGACGATCCGGCTATATGTTTATATAGTAAACTGTGTATGTATTAGCTAATTTGTATGATACCTCCGCTTAAATCTAAAAATAGAATACTTCATTCATGTATAATTATGTATAATTATGATCTTTTTATCAAACTTCAAAATTTTGATGTTATAGTAAACATGTCTTAAAAGTCTTTTCTTCTAAAACCTACAAAGTACAAGCAGATGTTTGGCATCACGGATATAAATCCGTGTTGGCATGTAGCATCACTATATTGCCTTTATAATGGTAGAATTGTCACTTTTGTACAAATCATGTACTTATTAGTGTATGGAGGGTAATTAAAAAGCAATTAATTGTAACCGAAAAATATAATTTTTTGATTATTTTTTATCATTCAAAAACAAACATGTACAATGTATATACAAAAAAAACCCAACAAATTTACCTAAGAATACTAAATGATTGAAATGTTAGTGATTGTATTATCTGATTGACTGAATGATCATAAAATAATGTACCTTTTTTCAAAATTTCTATTACCGATTCTTCGGTGTACTGTCCACATTGTAATATTTCTTTTGGCACTAACTGAGAATCTACTAGTTATCTGATATCTTCTGAATTATTGTTAAAGTTGCATATATGATATAAGGTTATATTTTGACGTCTTTAATGAGTTGTAACGTTATTATAATGTTTAATATACCATTAACCATTATGAGCTTTATATTAAGTCTGGTGCAATAAGTTATATTTCTAAGTGAAAAAGTCTATCATTTATACGTTTTTGACACTCCGGACAACTTAAGTATTATATACCATGATCCTGTTGAGATAGAAATCTCGAAATTTGTCGATCTGCCTAGCCTTTATCTGCTGTATAAAAATTTATTCTATTATTCAATCTTTAGTTCTCAATGATGTGTTTAAATATGTAAACATTTGTGATGATTTGACACATGCGTGTGCAAAACATCTGGTGAATGTTTTGCGTGTAACTTTATGATAAGATAACCACTGAAGTTATTCAATTTGATCTTCACTTATACCATTGCGATTCTTACATACCGTATATTCTCGACTCTTTTGTTAAACTTGAAATTTCTTGTGAAAGTTTTACATGCAAGTTATTTCTTTTCAACGAATTCACTTTTAATGAAGTAATGCATATAAAATGATTATACTCTATTATTCTGTTTTCTCTGCCATATATATAAATTTTCTCAAAAATGTTAGATACCTTAAAGAGATAATTAAATTTTGGATGATTAGAGGTTCAATTATTTCAAAACCAATGTTTTGTCCACTCGAAATAAAGCAGGGTCAAATGCAAATTCTAAAAAATCGCATGGTGAGTTATTTGAGTCTTTGTTTATGAAATTAAAAAAAATACTATTAAATTATTTAATAATTTATTTCATATACTATAAGTAATGTATATGGGATATAACAGTCTTCTCATAAAAGTTACTGGAAGTGACGATATTAAACGTCACGAAAAAGTCCTAAAGCAATAAAAAAAAAACCAGTATATTTGAGATCTTTGGACAAACGAATTAAATGGCAGATATGTTATTCCTACTAATCCAACATTTTATCGTAACTATATAATATCAATTTTATTCTTGCTTTTCTAAATCATTTCTTCGTTTTCTATAAGTACATAATGCTCCCCATCCAATCGGACAATTCCATATGTTTTATTTTTTCAAACAATCATCGTATAGTTTATTTAAAGGTCAAATTATTCGGTCAGTTATAGCCCGTTTCAAAAACAAAGCAAAAAACGTATTGTTGCTAATTTGTGTATGTTACGACAATCAGTCTGTCAAAAGCCGACATGATGTGTGTACACGTCTTTCAGTTATTGACTTTGAGGGATATTAAAAATGAATGATAATTCGACATCAATGACATTTAACCTCTTACAACTGTACTAAGGTATTATTAATCCGTTATAGTTAAAGTTATAGTTTTTCTCTACACAAAATGAATGTTTTGATGTTCTTAAAACACGTTTCCAGCCGTCACAATATTAAACTCCAGAAAAAGATAACCAATGTACACAAGTATCTGAATATGACTTTATAGATCGTTATCTCTTTCCCTGTCGTCGCATGAAAAAAATGAGCCAATCAACAGAGACAGTGAGTGCAGTAACAAATACTTACCCTCAGTTTACGCACTGTGCATGCATTGTATACGATTTAACTGTAACACGTTTTCAATGTTTATTTCTAACAAGAAGTACTACCTACCAAATACAGACCTTTAAACGGTAAAAATCTTCGTTCATGCACCATACATGCATGTTCTTTATATTCCATATCCTTGAAAACTAACGCACCAGCTACTGAGCAACTTTATTTATATTTATAAAATGACTTCTAAAAACTAAAATAATCGTGTGAGATTTTATTGCACTCGAAAATATGCCGATTATAAAAGTATGCCGTTCTCAATATTAAGCCACTAATCTCATTTAATCTTAATATACACATAAAAATAACACGAACATATTAAGAAATAAAGGAAAACAATTTAAGAGTTTTAGAGTAATTACATAACATACATACAAATAAGCAGTTGGTTATGATATAGTTTAAAGCTAATGATATAACAAACATACTACAGGGTTACGGCAAGAAGTTCATTTATTATACGGATTTTTTATCTTTCTTTAAATAAAAGAGCCATTTGACTTGAACTTTGTTTCATGCTATGTAAATACACACAAACTGGCATATAAACAAATAAGTTGTTGATAGGTTTCTGGTCTGTCGACCTCATTGACTAGTTTATTTATTATTACGGAAGAACAATAAGAATAATACGAAACGGTCTGCGATGTTTCAATCTTTCTTTTAGGAGACCACCAATAATTTCAAGAGTTACCAATAAGAAAACCTGCTTAGTTTGACCTTAATGTTTAATGCCCGGTTAAGTAATGACTTATTGTTATAGTCTGAAACGTTAAGATGAAACACAAGCCTTAGCATAAAAATATGTGAACATATGTTATACATTTGAATATCGTTTTTTTTGCGAAAATTAAAATCCAAACTGTTTAATTAAATAATGATTCAAGACTAATAAGTTCATTATTTTCACTTTTCAAACGATTAAATGATGTTTTATAATTATTGACCTAAATCATAGACATTATAACCTCTTATCAGGTAATTATGACATAGAGGTTAAAAAATTGTCCTGATTTCAGAACGTATTTAGCTAATAAAGAAACTTTTATCACTTACAAACACTTTATTCATTTAAAAAAAAATCAGAAAATGGTGATTTCGTACATCTTGCTTTTTTGTTTGATTTCACAAAATGTTTTTGGAGAAGATTTACACAATAGGCAAAATCTGCAGTCAATTTTAAAAGAGATCGATTACTTAAAAGAACGTACACTGGCATTGGAGAAGCAGAATAAACAACTTAACGAAAAAATTGAAAAGCTGGAAAATTGTTGTGCTGAGAAAACTAAAGAGGTAATCATTTTGTATTTGGCTAGTTGACATTCAATAACATGTACATATTTTTGGTCAAACCGATCGAACTTAAATACCATTGAGATGGTGTTTACATTGTCTGATTGAATTGTATATTTTTAGGATGACGTGAGAACAGCGAATTCCGGAACGTTGGTAAATACAACGAATACTCAAAACTTTGCCTTAAAATCATCATCTGAATCAACAAAAGAATTTTCTCACCGGCAAACTCTTACCATAAGCAAAACAAGTCACTTAGGGCAGCGTACATTAGGTAATTAACTTATTGGTTGACACATCACTGCTATTGAATATAGACAAAGACATTGATTTTTATCATGATTTCGAGTTCTTCAGCATATGTACATACACTGGAGGATATTTTTTTACGAAAAGCGCCAAAAAGTCGTCATTTAGCATTTTATTATAACTGTTACAGTTGATTGTCAAATACTTTATACAATTCTATAACTACAAAAGGTAATGAATGTGATCTATTAAAGTTGAAACTTATTTTATGTAAGGCTTCTTCTTGATAATAACTGTTAGTGCTAAGATATGTACAAAATTGATTTAATTTGTTCTTGAATTCTATTTTACATTTAATGGGAATAGAATAAAAAGCAGTTTGTACTTGATTTTTGCAATTTAATTGAATTTCATTTTCAGGAAGGCGGTCTCCTCAATCTCATGTAGCGTTTACAGCAGGAGTATCGTCTCAAAATCTTAATAATTTAGGTGATCATCAAACTATTATATTTGATAATGTCATCACAAATATCGGCAATGCTTACCATCCACATACAGGGATTTTCACTGTCCCGGTCAAAGGCGCTTATGTTATAACTTTAACTATGACAGTGGAACCCGACCAAGTTCAATGGCTTGATCTTGTGGTTGACGGTTTTGTCATAAATTTCATATCTGCCGGACAAGGAAGCATTCATAACTACGCGTCTACAACTAAACAATGGATTCTTGACCTAGTAACCGGGTCAGAAGTGTGGGTGTGGAAGACTGCTGACCTAAGTGAACATCGAGATCTCCACGGACATATGAATACCATCATATCCTGTTTCCTTTTATTTCAAACATAGCAAATTTAAGGAGTAAAGTGATAAAACTACGAGTCTTTTCTTGAAATAACAAAAAAAAAAATGGAATCATAAAATCATATATATTATGTCATTTTACTATTGGTAGTTTACTTAAGCATAATAAACATCCCTTGTGATTAATTTATATTGTCTATATTGCATCTAAATTCATTTTATTTCGCTCAACCTATTGTTTCAACAGCCTAAAATGTTGTTTATTCGGACTTCGAAATATTTTACTAAGTTCGAAATTGAAAGCTCAATTGTGACTGCTGTATGAACACATTAGTGGTTGTTTCTTAACTCAAAATTTTAACATATAAATATGACATAATCTGCATAACCCGGCGCTCCAGGGTGTGGTCGGTAACTTGTTTTAAACATTACCGTCCATGAATAGACTCAGTCAAATCAAGCTTGCAACCTATCAATGTATAAGTTTTGTGACCTGCGTAATTGCCTCTTGAATATTTTAATATGGGTCATTGACAAAAATGTTTTGTTTTAAGAGATTCATATCAACTGCCTTTTTATCTATTGATAATGGTTACTAATGCTTACAATTTCCAATTAGTAATAACTAAAGTTCTTTACAAGTTTCCTTTTCTAACTATCTTTACACTGGATCATACTAGGTAATGGTTATGGCCAATGTTGTGTAAACAATCAACTGCTTCCGTAACTTGTACCCCACAATTTTGAATTGAACCTTCTACGACTGTTGTAATAATTTGCAAAAAAACTATAAATTGTAAATTAGCCGTAGTTAATATTTAAATATCGAACTATCTCTTTATATACAGAACAGTCATCGCTTAAAAAAAATCTAAGCTAGCTAGCTTCACGTCTGGGTATCCATATAGTTATAAAATGTATATCATTCGAATCACAAGCGTCATAAATTTCTCAACAAATTGTATTTATCATTATTGAAGCTATCCTTATTAGATAAACTTAAAATTCATATTTTCTGTGTAAAGAACTACATTTTTTGCAAGATTTTTAAATTGCTTCTCAACACTATTATCTAGGCAAAAAATGTAGTTCATTTAAAAGCTTTCATGCTATCCGTAACATACACATTCCACTTTACACTGCTATAAAACACTTTACTAGATACCTGGTTCTTCGACAGACAATTTTCCACAATAAACTTTAAGAGGAATTATTTGTCCTACAACAGCGATTTTAATAACAATATTAAGCGAGCAATTCTTTCTTCTGTGTTAAACATGATAATTGCAGTCAATTGTATGACCCAACCAAAATATTAATCTAGATGGAAACCGGCAACACTCGTTATTAGCAAGCAAACATCCGAATCCAGCAAAGAATTTCGTACAAAATAACCATATAGTTTTGCTTTATTGTATTCAGGATGACCTACCACTCCGTAATCTGAAAACATTGTTACTTTTATTATGAACCAAAGAGCTCCAAAATTGTTTCCGCAAATACACCGGTATGCCCAACAGTGGCTATTCCGAATTGCATTGAGTAATATACATTTCCATTATAATGACAAAAACGTAAATATCTAGTATGTCCCGAAAAATATCTATGGGATGGTGAGCACTCTTTAAAATGAAAGAACAGGTCAAACTTTTCAGTAGTGTTTTGTCCTCAAATTGTATCTTAAACTTGTGTAAACAAGGATTAATATGTTTGAAGTCTAACATTTACCTGTGTTCAGCTATTTTATTAATATAAGCAAAAATAATGGGTGTTTAAAACAGTGCCTCTCTGTTACCTCAGAAATTATACAAAATATTGTTATTTCCTTGCCGATGTGTTATTTTTCAAATACACTTTTGCGGTACATAACTAAACGGCTACTTGTAGCCGTCTAATAATATCCAAAATAAATAATTACATGTGTTTAAAGACTTTTTAGCTCACTTGCATAAATTTTGCTTTAACCTGCTTACTTAACTTCAGTAAACATGCAATGGCTGGATCCAGCTGTTAGCGATGCAACCTTAAACGCAATATAGGCTGGTCAAGATTACGCATCTACACGCAAATAATAACCGGTTAAGAAATATAGGCAGTATATGAATCATCATCTCCAAGGAAATAAGAATAACATAATATCTGGATTTATTTTATTAAAGACCTATCCTCTAAAGAAAAATAATTAAACTGCATGTCATTTTATTGACACCCTAAAAAGAGAGAAACAATTTTGTTTAGGACTGACACATTGCTTGACGTTGGGACTATACGTAACGTTTCATGGAATAGAAACGTATTTAAGGTGCCATGACTATTTTTTTTTTACTATTAATCTTTTGAAATTGCTAGGAGACATAATTATTATCAATCACAATGGTTCTTCAAAATTGACTCTTCAAGGACATAGCTAGTGACATGTCCGGGGTCTGTACTCGACAGCAAAAACTGCATTTTGTGCTTGACCCTCATGAAACATAAAATGTTTACTTTAAAAGTACATCTGCTGATGTTTCAAAATTTCAAGATTTTCATGTCTTCTTAAAGGTATCTGACCAAGAATAGGCACGTTTTTCTGTTTTCAATAGATTTTGATTCCTATATTACAAAAACACGATAAAAATGTTGTAAGATATTCGAATATGAAAACAACAAAAGTAACAACAACAGCAAGATTTAAAAAGTCGTCTTTTCTGCTAGTGTCAGCCAATTTCCAACACATTTTTCAGCGATGACGTAGGAATATCTCTCCTACAACTGTTGACCAAGTTTTTATTGTAATCGCAAATTTTTTGAATAAAATTTAACATTGTTTTTGATGTTTTAACTAGGGGTGAGGACGATAGTTTGTACTTACCGTTAATTTCAATGAAAAGGGTCAATTAAACTAAGCATGCAACAATTTACTGGTAGGGCGTCCTACTTCAAAAATGTTATGATCATAAAATATTTTGCTTTTCATGACATTTTACAATATAGATTATTTTAAGTATTTGGATTCTTATCAATTCAAATATTACATTTCTAAACTGAAGCTTTATGCACATTACGTGATTTGTTACATTCTAATATAGTAACGGAAACATTTTAATAGAAAACAATAAAAGCATCCGTTTGCCCAAAATCAATTTAATACTTGACTTTTATTTTACCTTTTACTTTGCAAATTCAATTTATTAAGTTATCTAACAAGTAGAAAAACTTACATACAAGTATCAACCTCGGTTACCAAGACAAACATTGCTGCTAGTAAAGTTATAGTATAGCAGGAGTAAAGGAGATGTACTGGCATATCAAAGGGTAGTACACATTTAATTCTGATCAAGTGTTTGTGTATAAGAAAGGTTCGCGCTTGGAGAGGCTACAATAGCTGATTATGATATAACAATTCTCTTTCTACTTAAATTGTTGATCTGTTTGTCCACACATCCAGACTGTCCCTAAACCCTGCATTTGAAATGTTTTCCATTTTCAGGACAGGTCTCAATCCAAACCCATATAGCGTTTACAGCAGGAGTATCGGTTGAAAATCTGCATAATTTAGGTGTTCATCAAGCTATTATATTTAATAATGTCAACACAAATATTGGCAATGCTTACCATCCACACACTGGGATTTTTAATGTCCCGGTTAAAGGCGCATATGCTATAACGCTAACCATGGCTGTTGAACCTGACAAATTTCAATGGCTTGAGTTAGTTGTTGACGGTGGTTCAACATACTATATATCTGCTGGCCATGCGGGTGCTAGGGACTTCGCTTCTACAACACAACAATGGATCATAGATCTGCAAACCGGATCAGAAGTGTGGGTCAGGAAGATTGGTTGGTATGGCCAATCTGATCTCCACGGAAATATGAATACTATTATATCCGGCCATCTATTGTTTCAGACGTAAGAATTTCCGAAAAGTAAAGTTATCAAATTGTGATTTTTGTGTATGAAAAATATAAGCAAAATAAAATCTTTCTGATGCCGATCTGTGGTTTTATCTTACAGGAAGACGAACTTTGCAATAGACTGAAATAATTTTGACAAATTGCTTACTGTAGCGAAAATCATTGCAATGAATTATGGCTAAATATAAGCTGATGTACTTGTATATGTGATTACGTCATAAATTTATATGATTAATTTCAAAATTATTGTTTAACGCAATAAACCATTTTTCTTAATTCTGGTACGAAATTATGTTATTTAAAATTTATTGAACAGTATAAATTGAATGACTATTATATCTTTTTATTTGTTATGGCCATATTAATTATAAACTGTTAACTTATATAGCTTGTTTCTTTATTTACCAGGATTAATCGGAGAATAGCAGGCCCATACTCCTGTGGTTGAATAACATTTGGCTAAGGGTTTGCCTGCAACGTTTTATTTAAAAAATGACTGGGATCTTTCATGTCCCGGTCAAAGGCGCTTATGATATAACGCTAACCATGACTGTTGAACCAGACAAACTTCAATGGCTTGAGTTAATACTATATATCTGCTGGCCAAGCGGATGCTAGGAACTACGCTTCTACAACAAAACAATGGGTCCTAGAGCTGCAAAGCGGATCAGAAGTGTGGGTAAGGAAGATTTTTGGTACTAGCCAATCTGACCTCAACGGAGATATGAATACTATAATATCTGGCTATCTATTGTTCCAGACGTAAGAATTTTCTGGAAAGTAAAGTTATCAAATTGTGAGTTTTGTTTTGTGTGGAAAAAAATATTTCTGAAGCCAATATGTTGTTTGTGTTTATTTTCAAAAATATCATAAGACGATCGGGTCATAAGTTTTAAAAGTCTTATCATCTAAAGCGTAGATACATGTAGCATCACACCGTTGCCTGTATAAAAGCAGAATTGTAATTTTTGTACAAATCATGTACTGTATTGATGTAATTGGTGTAAAAAGGCACTTTATTTGTAACCATAGAAATTTCATTTTTCATTCAATTTTGTGCATTTGGAGTACTGTCATAATGTTTTTAGGTTTCTTAAAGTCCTGCTTAAATTAAAAACAAACATTATTGTTGTTTGAAGTCATTATATATACTCGTACAAACTTACCCAAGTATCCAGGTAAATCAATAAATATATCGTTTGACGGCGAATTTGGCAATCCTGGTTCAGACATACGGTTTATTCTTGACTCTTATGTTACATT